AAAACCACAACTGGCTATCGTTAGAGCACTCCAGAATTTAAAATGAATAAATCTTTTGTGTCGCGCACCATCGCTCGTTACCGTGATGCAGGTAGCGCAGCCCGACGTCAAAGAAGTGCACGGAAGAAAACAGCAACATCAGCAGAAATGGTTCAAAAAGTAAAGAAGCGACTTGATCGAAACCCGCGTCGCAGTGGCCGAAAAATTAATCGTGTGCTGAACATATCGCAATATTCCATTCGGCAAATTTTGCAAAATGAGCTCGGGGTAAAACCATTGAAATTCCAAAATGTGCAAGAACTTATACCGCAACAGAAAGAAAATATACTCAAAAGAGCTAAAGAGGTGCTTCGCATGGCCGAAAGTGGTGAACTGCAGAATTTGGGTTTCTCCGTCTCCGATGAGAAAACATTCATTGCCAGCTGAAATTGTGAACCTTCGGTTGGCCACCAGCACCCAAGCGCCGGTCATGGTGATGGTGTGACCGTCATGACAGCCGATGGTCGCTCTCCGCTTGTATTAATCGACCGTGGCATCGGAATAAATGCCGAATATTATCCCGTAAATATTCTGGAGGGTGTATAAAATGAATGGTTACAAAATGAGGTTCCTCGCTTCATTTCCAGCGAACAATGGCCACCAAAATCTCCGGATACCAATCACTTGGACTATTGTGTCTGGAGTATTTTGGAAAGAAAGGTTGACACTAAAAAATATCAAAGTGACGATCACCCCAAGCAAGCGCTTCGCCGGGAATGCGGCAAAATACCCCAGAGCAACATTCGGGAAGCGTGTGACGGTTTTATTGACCGTGTGAAGGGCAGAATACGTGCCAAGGGTGACCAATTCGAACAAATCTAAACTAATTCTAAAATTTGATGCTATTTCCGACATTTTTTGCTTTCATTCAATAAAATTAAAAAAAAATGTTTTTTATCTCACCTATATATCACTTATATATTTTTTGTGTGTGGAGACCATATACCATGTAACACGAAAATGGAAGGATAATGTGCTTTAGAAAAAATTGATAGAGATTTTAGCTTTACTCTTGTAGTTAGTCATTTGTATGTTTTCAACGACTTCGTAACTGTATAGACTAAAACTGAAGAACAATGAAAAAAATGTCGGTTTGCAATTTTTTTTATGCTCTACACCACACAGTGGTAAGGGTATTATGCATTTGTTTGTAACATGGAGAAGGAAGCGGGATAGATCCATATTTACTTTTGAGAATCTTAATAGAATCACTTTCTATATCGATTTATGCTTGGCAGTCCGTCTGTCCGTCCGTTCATGTATTTTTGTGGAAAAAAATATAGATCGCATCTGTTATCTGATTGAGATGAATATTTCCAAACAATATTTGTTTGACCCAAAGACGAACCTTATTGAAATTGGAGAATTGGTTGAAATTTAGATGTCGCTTTTACATATCTCTTCAACCAATTTCAGATTTATTGTGAATCAAATGGCTAACATAAACCCAAATGCACTGAATTTTGGGAATTCCGACTGAATTCATCCTAGAAACAAGTTCTTCACTTTTGGTGAAAATCGGTTCAGATATAGCTATAGCTCCCATATATATATATATATATATATATATATATATATATATATATATATATATATATATATATATATATATATATATATATATATATATATATATATATATATATGTTTCATCCGATTTGGTAAAAGATATCAGATACAGCCCAAAAATATTTCTTTAAAATTTTTTCGAGATCGGTTAAAATTTGGATATAGCTCCCACATATATTCAACCTATTTCGGGTTAATTGTGCAGCAAATGGCCAATATCAGTATAAATAACCTCCATTTTAGCAATTCTGACTGAATTCTTTCTACAAACAAGTACTTCAAATTTGGGGAGAATCTGTTCAGATAGAGCTATAGCTACTATATACATGTTTCATCTGATTTGGTCTTTTAGTCCCTCACATTCGTAATATGCACTCCACAACAATGATATTTGGTACCAGATATCAGATACAGCCCAGAAATATTTCTCCAAAATTTTATTGAGATCGGTTCAGATTTTGTTATAGCTCCCACACATATATTCGTTCTGTTTCGGGTTAATTTTTCAATGGCCAATATTAGTCCAAATAACCTGCATTCATCCATGACATGAATTCATCCTAGAAACAAGTACATCAAATCTGGTGAAAATCGGTTCAGATATAGCAATAGCTCCCATATATACAGGGTGAGATAAAAAAGCTGCAACAAAGTCAAACGCCATAATTTTTAATTTTTTTTTTAATTTTATTGAATGAAACAAAAAATTGTCGGAAATCGTATCAAATTTTAGAATAAGTTTAGATTTGTTCGAATTTGTCACCATTGGCACGAATTATGGCCGTCAAACGGCCAATAAAACCGTTACACGCTGCCCGAATGTTGCTCTGAGGTATTTTAGCCAATTCCCGGCGAAGCGCTTGCTTGAAGTATTTTTTAGTGCCAACTTTGCTTTTCAAAATTCTCCAGACACAATAGTCCCACGGATTGGTATCCGGAGATTTAGGTGGTCATTATCCACTGGAAAAGAAGCGAGGAATCCCATTTTGTAACCTTTCTTGGGTGGCGTGTGTTGAGTGCGATGGTGCTGAGTCCTGTTGGAAAGTCCAAGGTCTGAGGCCAAAATGTTTGCGTGGCTTGAATACAACCTCCAGAATAGTTTCGCGATCATTTTCGGCATTTATTCTGATCGATTAATACTAGCGGAGATCGACCATCGGCTGTTATGGCGGCCCACAGCATTAAAATGTCGGGCGCTTAAATTCTGGTGGCCAACCAAAGGTGCACATTTTCAACTGACCACTTTGGCAAGTAAACACGATCAATTTGTTTGTTTACAAACTGGTGGACAACGAATGTTTTCTCATCAGAGAAAACCAAATTCGGCACTTCACCACTTTCGGCCAAGCAAAGCAACTCTTTGGCTATTTTGAGTCTTTTTGTTTATGTTGCGGTGTAAGTTCTTGAAATTTTTGAAATTTCAATAGTTTTACCCCGAGCTCATTTTTCAATATTTGCCGAATAGAATATTCGGATATGTTCTGCTCACGAGCCATTTTTCGCACACTGCGACGTGAGTTTCCGTCAAGTCGCTTCTTTACTTTTCGAACCATTTTTACTGATGTTGCTGTTTTCTTCCGTCCACTTCCTTAACGTCGAGCAAAGCTACCAGTATCACGGTAACGAGCGATGGTACGAGACACAAAAGATTTATTTACATTTAAATGCTGGAGTGCTCTAACAATAGCCACTTGTGGTTTTCCAGGCAAATATAAAGAAATCATACTATCACGTTTGAATTCCATCACAAATAACTTTTTTTATTTCAAATTATCACTAAAATGCTTTTGTACGCTTGTAAACAATATAATGAGCTGTCATTGTAATAATTTTTGATGATATAGATATGACAGCAGTCTGAAGTTGGTTGCAGTTCATCTCACCATGTATATCAAATTTCAGATTTTCGGCTCCATTCCTTTACCCAATACCAAATTTAGTAACATTTAGTACTTTTCGTGCAGTTATGGGATGGTTTTCCAAAGCACCACAAAATCCCAAACACAGATACCGTCAGTAATCTAAATATCAAATTTCGGAATTAAATCTCTATCCCTTTACTCAATACCAAATATAGTACCATCTAATACTTTTCGTACAATAATAGTACACATTTCCGTGACAACCTCCATATATCCAGGCTGCACAGGAACAGCGACCCCAATAATATAGATCTAAAGCCCTTTCTGTTCACTCAATTCCAAATTGTACCAAACCACCTCTTTATCACAAACCTACCACCTACAGGGACCCTAATACAAAATTTCAAATTTCCAGCTTAAGCGGTACACCCTAAACCAAATTGTTTCAAAACTAGTTCCATTTAGAACAGTTCGCACGCTTAGTACACCTTAATGTACCCAACTTACTTTCCAACTTTGATTCTCATACCAAATTTCAAGGTTCCATTCACACAATACCAAATGGTACCATTTTAGAACTTTTTGTAACCTTTAGGAACTTCAAATACGAAATTTTGCTACAGTTCCGGTGAATAATGTCACTAAATCATTAAAAATACTGAAGATCCGCCTATCTTCGGCACCGTTATAAGGAGGCTATATGAAGACGTGGACCTATATATGAAGTTTTTAGGATCTAGTACCCATCAGGAACTTGAAATTTAAAATATCTCCGGTGAAAAGTGTGACACAAACCATTAAAATACTGAATATCGGTAGGTGTAGTAATACGGGAACTTTACGAAAATTTGGACCCATATTGACAGTCCTACATGTTTTCTGATTTGTGAGCTACATTTTCAAGTTATCTATCATTAAACTATTCATATAATAATTAGGAACTCCTGTGAATTTAGCGATATCCGAAGACAAGAACAGATATCGGATATCCGGCTAAATAATTCAGAAAGTGTTTGTCGGATGCCTTAAAAAATTACCTATATCTGAAAAACTAAAAAGAGATGAATTGAAAACTTATTCATAACACCGACGTTGGTGTTATGAATAATTTTTAAACTCTGAGAATCAGTCTATTCATATTTGCATGACCTATATATTTAGGTATCTACCCAACATACCAAATTGACTTGAGAATAATATTTTAACAAGCTTACAAACATAAGCCTTAAGCTTGAGAAAATCTTGAGAATATATTGAGAAATGCTTGTTTAACAATTATAGAATAATCGAAACGGAACCCTTATTTATAAGCTTATTCTTGTAATTGCAGAATAAGCTTACGAAAGTAATATTATATTAAGCTTGCTAGTGCAATTTTAGAATAAGCTTACAAAACTAATATTTTCGTAAGCTTATGTATTTATAAAAAAGTGTACATATTTTTCAAAACTATTTACTCCATTTTTATTAATTCAGTTGTGTTTTACATTAAGATAATTAGTTCAACTAATATTAGTGAAAGTTATAATATTATTATGTTTTTTTTTAATTTACATTTTTTTTGTTTTTGTAATCGTTTCGCAGCTTTATGCGATTTTTAGCGAATTGAAAGAAAGTGCGCGTGTCCTTAATGAATGTGTCCTCCGTGTAGCCCAATGATAAAGTTGCATCTATGAAATATAGAAATTAAGCGTTTTTTTTTCAGATAGTATTGTTAAATAGAAATACTTCGTATTGCTTTTGTTGTACTAAAATTGCGAACACTTCTCTTTGTGTCCGTCCCTTTCCAGCAGAGTCGTTCTCCCAATTCATCTGTTATTATTTTTTTCCAGCAATTCTTTACGAAATTTGGTGCCTTGGCAACAAGTTTCAGTTCGCTTTCCTGAAATTAGGGAAAGCATAGTGATATTATTATTTTTGTTTTAGTTAGTATTTTTGAACTAAATCATTTCCTGAACAAATTATAGAATGAAACTTACAAGAGAAATAAATGCTTCGTTTATTTCTTGGAGACCTTTTTCAAATTCCAGAAACGACTCAATATCCTTGAATGGATCGGAAGGCATTACTAAAGTTTTTGTTTTCTTTCTTTCTGGTTTGAGCTCCTGCAACTCCTTACGCAAGCTTTGCACTTCGCTTGTTAACCTTATGAACATAGGCTGAATTGCACTTATTACTTGGTTAGCTATAGCTAAAACTAAAATAAGATTTTATCATATTTATGGAGAAATGTTTAAAAAATATTATTTTTACCTTCAGAATTTGTTATAAGTTTATGGTAATTTTCATTTATTGGCGGAGCTCCCATGTTAACATTTTTCTGACTAAAGAATAGTTTTGTGAAGTCTTCAGGCATTGTGAATTAGCGGAAGAAAGACAGTTTTGCTGTTTTGAGAGAAAGAAACCATTTTAACTATCTCATATAAAAAGTGTGTCTCTATTGTTTCTGAGAATGATAAATCCGTTGTCTCCCATATATTCAAGAGAGAGGAATTAAGTGGATAGAAAAATAATGGTTCCAAAAACAATACTTTTGATCCAAACACTTTCTGCGTTCCTGTTGTTCCAATTGATGAAACTTTGAAAACATGTTGTCCAACACTATAATAGTTGTTAGGCGCAAAAATTGACAAGTATATGTTTTCATTCTGAATAAAAGTATTTGAACTTCTTTCCACTTTTACATGTTCTTCAGAAAGTGAACTGTTTATACTTTGTTCAACCAATCGATTATATAACTGCACGGATACGTGGCTTTTCTTTTTAAGAAGTCGTTTTAATTTTCCTAATTTGGCGCTTAAAGGCGCTTATATTTTCTAGCGATCCATATAATAAAGCATCACTTGCTAGATGTGTAAGACAGTGGAAGTTGTATGTTGCTGCAGCTTCATTATAATTCACTGGGACATTCATTACAAAATTGGTTAGCAACGCTTGTGCGCACTCATTGTATGTTTTACATTTGCTTTCATCTAATAATATGCGCAAAGCCAAGCTTAGTTGCATATAATGAGTATAACGATTTTCATCCAATATATTTTTTAATATAAAAGGTCCAGTATATAGAAGGAATTGCCGAAATTCTGTTGCCTTGTATCGCTCAAATTCCTTTAAACTTCGTGGTGCTCTACAAAATTCCCTCGGAGTTTGACTTTTAAGCGTCTGCAGCTGATCATCAAACACTTCGATTTGTGCTGGAGATAGCGAAAACGAACAATTTTTTTTCCGGATCCAAGACTTCATTAATGACTTTACAACTCCAAGACAAACTACGTGCATGTAATCTAATGGAAAGGATTGAACTATGTCTATTGGTAACTTTTCTATTGCCATTTGGGTGTTTGTTATATGATGATTTGCACAGTGACGTGTTCTGAAATTTTCATCTGTTCGAGAATCATTATTTTCTTGTGTGAACACCATGCGCTTCTGAACGTATTTCCCAGTTTGTGTGCACTTGTGGCAGGAATTATAACCTGTATGGCTTTTTATACCCAAAACTAGGGATCTTGCTGGTGAATCGCATATAAATGACAGGCAGCTAACTTTATAACTTTTGCCTTTAAATGAGAAATTTGAACTAATAACTTCATTAAGTTCTTCAACGAATGGTGTTAGGAACGCGTTGACGTCTTTCGGCTTACTGTTTCCAGAAAAAACGCCGATTGTATACACAGGATTTGTATCGTTTACGTTTACCAGTATAGGCCAAACTTGTGCCAATGAACTTTTTGCAATTGGAAGACCGTCAATATTAAAATTTAATTCAATAGTGTCACCTTCGTATTTAGCGTTTGAAAAAAAATCGGTCAAGCAATCCTTCAGTCCATAGTGCACATATTCACCTCCTGCAATTGACATAACTGGAGCATCTCTAGGGGTTTTTTTTAATGATCTAGCATCTTTTGGTAGGCTTGGTATCATCCTCCTCATAATTGTTAAAAGTTCATTCACTGCAGAGTTCGAAATTAAATGTTTCACACTCCACTTAGCCAACTCATCTTGAATATTCAGTTTTTCAATTGGAGACATAGTTGGAGCTTCGTCGCTTTCATTTTCACTCTCACTTTCATTTTCACATTGCACAGGAACTGGGTCGCTATTTATTTCACTAGTTTCCGACCGTTCTTTTGATAAAATTTTTTTGTGTTGATTATCACAAAAAAGAAGTTCAACTACCTCTTTTGCTTCTCTTCTAACACTTTTTTTATATTTATAAGGCATTTTTAAAATATTACCAATTAATTTTTGCAAAACACAGCGAATAACTTTTTTTACATTGAAATTAATCAATAAATGCAAAACAAATTGTTTTCACCAAATAAATTTATCTACAAATGCAATGCCTACTCACTACGAAATGGTTGTGTGTTCAAAAAATTTTCAGACACACTTGCGAAACCTTTGTACAAATAAGCATTTCTAAAGTATTGTTAAAAATTTGTTGTGAAATTTCTTTTTAATAATATTATTCTCAAGTTGTGTTGTAGTTTTATTTTTATTTGGTATGTTGGGTACATACAATTATATTTGTCCGTATGTACGTTTTGTTCAAAATATTGCCACACAATATCTCATACAATATTTTTGTGTGTGTGTGTCAACTAATATCCATTAATTTTGCACAAAAATGAAAATAGAAAAAGTCAATTTATTATAAATTATGACATGCTGAAAATAAAAAACATAATATTGTCAATATTTTGTCATATATGTTGACAGCTGTCAACGTATGTATGTGAAGTTTCATGTGAACAAAATGTAGTCGAATCGAAAATGAAAGCTACAAATAAATAAAATTGTGAAAACCTCATAAATGTTTACGCTACAAATATGGCAAAATGTCACTCAACAGGGTGAGGTCAACAAAAAAATTACAAGTAAGTAAAAAAAAAGAAAAAATAGTAATATGTCAAGTATACAGTTTTTGAAAACCAGGTGCCTTCATGGGGTATGTGAAAAATTATTTTAGGGAGATGAAATGTAAAAAAATTACATATTCAAATTTAAATTTTTATACCCTACACCACATAGTGGCAAGGACATTGTCTTTGAGCATTTGTATGCAACATGGAACAGTAAGCGAGATAGAACCACTTTTAGGTACTTTACCTTTTAGGTACTTTTGAGGATCGTCATAGAATCATTTTCTGAGTCCATATATGCATGTCAGTCCATCTGTGCGTCCGTCAATGAATTTTTGTGAACAAAGTGCAGGTCGCATTTATTATCCAATTGAGATGAAATTTTCCGAACAATATTTGTTCGGCCCAAGGACGAATCCTGTTGAAAATCGATTAAAATTTAGATATAGATCCCATATATATCTTCAACCGATTTCGGGTAAATTGTGCATCAAATGCCCAATATCAGTCCAAATGGTCTGCATATTGGCACATCCGACCGAATTCAGTCTAGAACAAAATACACCAGATCGGTTCAGATATAACTACAGCTCCCATACATATGTTTCATCCGATTTGGAGTTTTAAGTCCCTCATTGCGCAATACGCACTCCACAACAATGGTCTTTGATACCAGATATCAGATACACCTCAGAAATAAGTGTGATGATCAGTTCTGATTTAGATATAGCTCCCGCATATACCTTTATCCGATATATACGTGTATCCAAATGGCTAATATTATCCTGAATGGACTGAATTGAGATACTTCTGACCGAATTCAGGCTAGAAACAAGTACATCAAATTTGTTGAAAACCGGTTCAGATATAGCTCTCATATATATATTTCATCCGATTGGAGGTTTTAAGTCCCTCACATGCGTAATATGCACTCCACGACTATGATCCTTGGTACCTGATATCAGACACTGCTAAAAGTGCCTAAATTTTTTTCAAAATCGGTTAATATTTTGAATTTTTTGAATATAGTCTAACATATAGCTTTATCCGATGTTAGGTTTATTGTGCTCCAAATAGATATTATCAGCCCAAATGGAGTGAATTGTGCTCACTTTCGACCGAATTCAGTTTTGAAGCATGTACTTCAAATTTGGTGAAAATTGGTTCAGATAAAGCTATAGCTCCCATATATACGATTCATCCGATTTGGTGTTAAAGTACCTCACATGTGTAATATGCGCCTCAGATCAACGATCTAAATTTTGTCCAGATCGATTTAGATTTGGATATAGCTTCCATACATCTCTTTATCCGATTAAAGGTCTATTGTGCACAAAATTGCTAATATCAGCCCAATTTGACTGCATTTTGGCACTTCCGACGGAATCCGGCCTAAAAGCAAGTTCTTCAAGTGTTGGTGGAAACCGGTTCAGAAAAAGCTATCGCTCCCATACATATTATTCATCCGATTTGGGGTTGAAAGTCTCTCACAATCGTGATTTGCACTTCACAAGAATGATATTTGGTAATAGATATTTTATATAGCTCGGAATTAGCTTTGCCATATTTTATCGAAATCGGCTACGATTTGGATATAGCTCCCATCCGATTTCAGGTTTATTGTGCAAATAATGGTGAATATCAGCCCAAATGGAGTGAATTTCGGGATATCTTTATTTGGTGGAACTCGACACCGATCTATATAAATTTTTATACCCTCCACCATAGTATGGAGGATGCATTAAGTTTGTAATTCCGTTTTTAACACCTCGAAATATACATTTTAGACCCCACAAAGTATATAGATTCTTGATCACTATAAAATTCTACGTCGATTTAGCAATGTCTGTCCGTCTGTGCAAATCACTCTAGCTTCCGAACGAATTGAAGAAGATTGATAAAATTTTACTCAAATGTATGTTATGTCTGCCCCCATATAACTGTTCCTCCCGATATGTGGTATTTTGAAGATTTTAGCGACATTATTTCGTAATAGATATTACAGCCTATGACAGAAAATTGTCTGTGCAGGTCCGGTTCTTCGTATAGCCCAAATATAATGGAGTCTCCCTATATTCGGTATTTTGATGATTTTAGCGACATTATTCACCGGAATTGTTTTAAGTTTGGTATTTGAATACTAAAGACTACGACAGAAAACTGTTTTGTTGCAGGTCCACGTCTTCGTATAGTCCCGGTACCTCCTAATGCTCGGTATTTCGATGATTTTAGCGTCATTAATCACCTAGTAGTTTTAAATTACGTATTTAGTGTTCGTAATGGGAACTACAGTCTGTGACAGAAAATTGTCTATGC